TATTTTCTGTTTCAAACTTTCACATAGCATCTTTAGGTTATAATAACATTAAAAATTAAAATCCAGATTTTGATTTTCAAAGATTTATTATAAAATTTTATTATTTTTTCCCCAAAATGCAATAAATCCATGATAGTTTTAAAAAAAATTTTTAAATGCAATAAATCCATTGAATACACAACATAGTAAATTGATCCACATATGACAGCCTCTGAACTTCGTCAATACTAATCTTATATACAGGCTAGGCATGGGCCGATTTCAAGGTATACCGCGATTTGAAAATGTCACGGTTTCAAAACCACTAATATTTTTCGTTATACCGTTCCTGCGGTATGCACCGTTTTTCATGTCTCCTCAAAGACTGAAGGTGTAGGAATCCCTCAAGTTGAGTGCAGTGTAGAGAGTAACATGACCCTCCTCCTGTTGGTGCATAACTGTAATTATCGATTTAGGTTAAATAAAGATGTCAGTCTTTATTTTTCTTTTTTAGGAAACAAATCCAAGAAAAAATAAACAAAGTCTACTGTTCCTAATATTCTGTATGTTGCTCAAAAACAAAACATATTGTGTACAGCGGAAAATTTTTTTTTTTTTACCCGGTCATTTAAAAAAATAACACATTTTAGAGCTGTAACGACAATACCGTGATATTTTTGCTTAAGGTTATCATACCGTCAAAATCTCATACTGGCCCATGCCTAGTTATCACATTAGTTATGATTGCATTAGACAAAACAATATAACGCAAAAACAATTTGCACCATACGTTCAATACAAAAAATAAAAAATAGAAATGGAAATTGTAGTCAATGGGAAATCTGCTCCTTTATTAAATGTAATAAATTGCATGTGGTTTAGAGTGTGCAGATATAACACTCTAACAAACTTCATGTGTGCTAGCAATCATCTGCAAGAAAAAATTTCAGACTGGCTAGAGCAACATGTTTTTTTCTTCTCTAAGCAATTTATTTAATCACATGATATCTTCTGAATGCACGTCTAACAATTTCATCTGTAAATGTACTTGCATTGTAGTTTATGCATTTTCTAACCAAATAATAATACATAAAATCATTCACCTCAAACGAAGTGTATACATATATTAAGCACATTATGCAAATTACATTCACATGATGGTTTTTCCATCCAACATTTTAATGCAAATTTTGGGATACAGCATAGAAATGCTAGTTGATGGAAAACCTGGATGAATCTCGTGATGTTGCTTAACAGCAGTTTAACATAAATGTAATTTGAAACCACTGTCATCAAAAAAAAAAAAAAAAAAAGATTAAGATTTGAAGCATCTTACACTGATTATAAGAGATCCCATATTAAGCTATGACTTTCAACCGCTGTTATGGTAGCAATCTAAATGTTCTAATGTGTGTAAAACTATATTCAGCCTCCATCCAACCCCTTTTTCCTCATTGAGTTAAGCATGCGTATAACTTGTTTTTGCTGTGATTCAAACAGTTTATTATTCCCCAAGACGATACCATTTCTAAAATCAAATATGGGAATCTGTGAAAAATTATCATTATTAAGAGCAAAACATTCGGAAATCATATCCAAAATGTATATTTTCTGTCAATACTTAGTAAACAAAAACTTGCGTTCAGCTTGCAGAAATGAAATAATGAATTTCAAAACATCTAGACATCAACCAAGAGTAAAGATGTAAAAGTAGGTGCATAAATGTTTCCAAAATGCCCATGTCTCACTGAAAAATCACACTGCCTGACTTGTCCTGTCGATCCGCATGAGTCTGCATGACCGGGTCGGTCGTTTCTCCTTTCCCCGTTTCTGTTGAGCAGCCCGAAGACGTGCTAAAATGTGTTTTTTTGGGAACTTCAGGGTGGTACATCCAAACTGGCTAACACCTCCCGTTTCCCCAGGTAATTTCTCCCGCCTTTGGACCCAGCTTCGCCAGCCAGGTTTCCAGCAGTAGACGCTATCATAAAATCTCGATCCATTCTCACCACCCAACACATAAATCCTGCGTTTCCATCTAGCCACACCTCCAGCTGCAATCCGCCTTGGCAGGCCAGGAAAAACCACCGGACTAGGTGCACGGTCGCTACCACCACCCCCTCGCTCTACTCCAACTGCCACCTCCCGCTCTACTCCTGATCCTCTTCCTTCTCGGAAGAACAACACACGTCCTGTGGCATCTAGTGGTTCAGCCTGGGTGTAGTTGCCATTGAGGAACTTGGCGGCATCACGCAAGTAACCACCAATGGCACAAACGCCGCCACGTACTGCCACGCCTCCAGCCAGGCAGGTGGCGCCAGAGTCTAGGGCGACACGGCTCCAGGTATTTGTAACCGTGTGGTATATAAGCACACCAGCATGCACCACAGCCCTGCTCTGCTCCAGTGTGGTACCACCAAGCAAGTAGAGACGACAGCGGAGAGCAGCGCAAGCAAAAGAACGCAATGGCAATGGCAAACGAGGTCCTGATGCCCAGGTCAGCTTGTTAAGGTCAAATTTTTCAGATGTGTCCAGAAAGGCTGATCGGTTACAGCCACCAAGAGCGTATAAAAAACCTCCGCAGCCAAGAAGACCCAACATCGCGCGTGGTTCAGCCATCAATGGCTGTACAATCCAGCGGTTTAGCACAACATCGTACTCATGAAGTTCTGAGGAGACCTCGGAACTCCGCAGGATGCCTCCCGCCACAAACAGTCGACCTCCGACAGCAGTGCAGCCGGGACAAAGCAACGAGCCCAAGGCTGCCAGCTTCTCCCACTTCCCTGAACGAGGGTCGAAGCAATCCACCGTGAAGTCCCTTTTCTGTAAAGACTCATCCTCCCTTGGCTTAAGGTCTACACAGACTATTTTCTTCTCAAACATGCCTTCTCGAGGCCTCAATGGTCCTCCCATGCCCTCAGTAGTGGCTCGAGGTCCAAGTTCTTGGTTCATTCGGTGGCTCTCTTCAGGGCCGAAAAGACCGGGGCGTAAATGGCGTAACAAATTGGGCATGTGACTGTAACGATCAGCCGGCTGGTATTCTGCCCATCGCCTTGCTGCATCGTATACTTCAGTCTCAGACTCCACACCCAATCGATCCGACTCCAACAAGCTGCCAAGAGTTCCTGGGTCCAACAGGAGGAAATCTCGCTGCCGGGCCACTCGAGGGAAATGCTGGCCCACCAGTCTCAAAGAAGCCCGAAGAAGCAGCTGGTCATGATGTGAACGAGCCAGAGAGTACATGCCCAGGCAATTCTCCACAGATAGGTGTTCAAAAAGGAATCTAACATATATGAAAATAAAATGTGAGTATCAGCAAGACAAGATACAAAGTAGAACGATTACAATAGGATCACATCTAAATTTTACCTAGAGCAAAGGTCCTGCAAGGGCATCACTTGAAGACGATTGGCTGCTACAAACAAGTCCTCTGCTGTGTCAAGACTAAGACCTGCTTCTCCTGTATAAACAAAGTGGATAACTGTCTCCATAACAGAAGGTGTCACCTCTTCCAGTCGGATCTCAGTAAGACGAGACTCTACAAGAGGGCTGGTAAACATGGCACGGAAATATGGACTGACTGCTGCTAAAAGAACTCTGAAAAAAGAAAAACAGCACACGTCAAAACGGAACAGTTTTATGTGTACACTACCATTTCAAAGTTTGAGATCGGTAAGATTTTTTTTTATGTTATGTAAAAGCATGTCTCTTATGCTCACCAAGGCTGCATTTATTTGAATAAAAATACAGTAAAAACATTAATTATTTTGTGATATTTAAACTATTTAAAACATTGTTAGTTTTAATTGTTATTAGAAAATATATATATATTTTTTATAAATAGCCATTACTCCAGCCTTTAGTGTCACATGATCCTTTAGAAACCATTTTAATCTGCTGATTTGCTGCTCAAGAAACACTTTTATATTATCAATGTTGAAAACAGTTTTGCTGCTTTTTTCCAGGAATTTTTGATGAATTGAAAGTTCAAAAGAACAGTGTTTATTTAAAATAAGTCTTTTGTAACATCATAAATGTCTTTACTGTCACTTTTGATCAAATTAATGCATCCTTGCTGAATAAAAGCAATTTGTTAAAAAACATCTTACGGACTGAATGGTACTGTATCATTCATTATACTGAAATACATATAATTATAATCTTTTTCATTATTCAAAATTCATCATGCAGTTTAATAGTTGGGTACATTAGATTGTATGCCACTTTTGAAATTATTCAAGTTATGAAAAAAAAAAAACACTTTACGTACAATATTACAATTAGACAACCTTCAAAGCTGAAACCATAAAACCTACCTGTGACACATAAACTTTTTTCCCTCCACCAGAAGAGTGACATCACACAACTGCTGAGCATCAAGCAGCTGTTTTAACCCTGAATGAGATGACAAAGAGAAAAAAGCAAAGCTCATAAAAAGGTGGCTAAATGATTAATCTATGTTCTAATCACGGTTACATTTACATTTAGCAGACGCTTTTATCCAAAGCAACTTACAAATGTTAATTGTATAATAAATAAAAAGGATACAAATAGATATAATACAAAACGAACAGAGAAGCTAGTGTTAGCTTTTTTTTTTTTTTTAAAGAATAGAATTAGAAGAGAGAGTGCTAGAGTTAAAGGGTCAAATAAAGATGGAAGAGGTGTGTTTTTAGTCGATTCTTGAAGATGGCTAAGCTGTTCGGATTGAGTTGGGCGGGTCTTTCCACCAGGAGGGAACATGTAATGTAAAAGTCTGTGAAAGTGATTTTGTGCCTCTTTGGGATGGCACAATAAAGCTACGTTCACTTGCAGAACACAAGCTTCTAGAGGGCACATAAGTCTGAAGTAATAAATGTAGGTAAAGGGGTGCAGAACCTGTGGTGGTTTTGTAGGCAAACATTAATGCCTTAAATTTTATGCGAGTGAGCCCTGAGGCACCCCAGTAGTTAGAGGTTGCGACTTGGACACCTCACCTCTCACCTCATGACTGTTACATTGCCACATTTGATAAATGTAATGCTGTTTCATTGTTTTGAAGCAATGAAAAGTTTTTGTTTACTCATTATCGCAGAACTGGATCTGTGGGGTTTAAAGGTGACTGCATTATTATTTAATGTAATTCTAATCTGATTTTTTAAAATTACACATTTACTTTATTTGAATAGTGACAAAATGTTACATTTTTCTGCATTTTACATTTTAGCTTTTCTTTTATGCTTTTTTTTACAAGCCTAAAACCTTATTTTAAGGTTTAAATGAATCTTATGGACCCCAATGCATCTACTGCTGTTGTGCTATTATTTGGGACATATAAAGAGCAATAAAGCAGTTAGATTGAAGCATGTCCTGTACAGATTGTTATGAGAAATTTAAAATGAAATAAGAAATTAGCTACATTACACAATCCAGAATTCTATAATAACAGTATAAATTATCCAACAATCAATGTTCAAAACTACAACCATCGTCTCACCCTGAGTTACATATTCCCCCAAGGGAGTCGAGTAGTCATCAGGAAAATCCTCTTCCTCCGAGTCGCTATCCGAGAGAGGCTCTCCACCACCTCTATCTGCATCCTGCCATGGCTGTGGTCGCCAGGTAACCGCACCACCTCTGACAGTAGTCATCTGTGGCAAGTTAATTTAAAAATACATTGTTTATAACATGTCATTTATAAAATGCTCATATAGTGACAGTATAATGCTGTGGTCACATTTATGGTTTCTAGGGCTGAACTGAACATATATACATATATATATATATATATACACATATATGCATACACACACACACACATACATATATACATATATATATATATATGTGCTGGAAATTCACCTGTAGAATTAAAGTCAGGCCACTCAAAGGCAAAATGATAAATTAAATGTATTTGACTGAAAATCGCAATCCAGGGCAGTCTCTCTGACCGAAATATACCTCAGAGAGCTACAAAATGACTAAGCAAAACAGAGTAAAACCATACAAAATCATTTATCATTGAATAAAGACTTTCAAAGATGACTGGATAATCAAATGAACAGTTTACAATTTACATATGTTACAATTCAATTTAAACAGTTTATTTGACTCCCTAGACTTTTTCCAGACCTACTGATCTTGACCACAGAAAGAGGCATTATTCACAAGTTGTTTCTTACAATATTCGTAGACTAAATTTGAAACAGAGTGAGATGAAAATAATAAAAAGGGCAATATAGCTTATTCTTCTGTATGACAGAAAGAGAAGGCCAGTATTCCGGCAAGTTTTCTGAGGCCTTGTATTTGAGTGCCTCGGATAACTTACAACATCTCCATGCTTATTAGTCAAACTCTAACGCTTACATGTATGGCATAACCTCAATTGTTACTTTTCATCAAAAACACCATATATTAATGAACAACAAAAAGGTAGAAAACCTATTTAGTACATACAACAGAATAACAAATACACACATACATGCATATATGTAAAAAAAAATAGTATCAGGATTTCAAAGATATTTAAGGAAATCTCTGTAACTCATGTTTAGATTATCAAATTAAAAAAATGAATCATTTATAAGCAGTAACATTGATTGAATACACATAGAAACAATCATATTTTCTTTTAAAATATGCTCACTCCAGACATTTCCGAGACTTTCTTTTGAGGTTTCTAGCCAGGGTATATTTTGTTTTATTTAACAATTCCCTGCTATTTCCAGGATTCTTCCCTCATCAAAACATTTCCCAAAAGCTATTTGTTGATCAGAATATTAGTAATGGGATTGCCAAAGTAACCTGATTCTTCATGCACCGTATGTATATAAATAAAATATTAATACTAGACTGCAAAACGAAATGTGCCCTCCACCCAAATACAGTAACAGCCTAACCGAGCATAAAACTCTTGTCCAATAAAATCGTGTACATTTTTTTTTTTAAATATTACCATGAGAGGTGAAGATTTCTATCAGAAAGTGTGAGAGTTGACCCCAACGGTACAGATCTGGGTGATGGATATTCTCTTAATTCTTGCGGTGTCTTGAGTTCGATTTTGTGTATCAAGGCTCTCAGGGTGCCACAATGGTACAGACGGCCCGATACTCTTCGGCCCGTTAACAACGCCTTGACCTTCCTGGGTAGTTTCAGCGCAAATTGGTCGGCTCATTACGGTGTGTTGTCCATCCTTAGCATATGAGCACAAAAATATACACGCGCTTCTGATACATCCACACTGTCGACCACGGCTCCATGCAGATTATTAAAGGCTGGTAATCCGGATTGGCCCAGAGAAAACGTAGTCCCGGGAGAAATAAATGATTGTTTGATCAGTAACGTCAACTATTGCTCACAGCTGCCAACATTGCTCCATGATTGGAGGCAAAGCAAGCTGAGGGATTCTGTCACTTGCCGGAACAACACACTAAACTTCCGCTTTGCTCATTGGCCGATTTATCGGATGTGACGGATATTTACTTCCGTTTCCGAGAACCTTAAATTTGTAACTCCCAAAGCTGAAGAAACTCATTTAAAATTATTAAACGGTTTATATCCATGCAGTGAAATCTTACGACGAAGATTTGGATTTGATACAATAAATACGTACATGTGTATTTTGCGACAATACTGAAACTACTGATAATGCATTTTGTATGTATGCAGCATTATTGCTTGATATTTACGAAGTTTCCTCACCTTAAAATGTTTTCTCCAAAGGACATTGTTTATGGACGTGTTGTGTGCAATAAAAAAGATGTCTTTGTGGTAAATAATATCCTTATTCTGGGAAATGTTTATATAACGTTACACACATCTACGCACTTGAGAGTAAAACTTAGGTTTTGTGTATTTCACAATGACTTTCTTTTACAAAATCCCTTAAAGTCCGCGTGAACCGGAAGTTGCTGCCGACTTTATTTCAGTGTAGTGACGTATTTCCAGCTGAAACGGAATAGAGTGGGGGAACTATGACGTCACTTTGTATGCGGATCGGCTGTTAGCATCACACTGGTTCCCTCCACAAAAAACCAATGGGATTTTTCCATAGGCGTTTGGATTATGCAAAAAATAAGCTCTGTGTTCAATCATAGTTCATGAAACTTACACGTTTTGTCCATCAAGACAATCTTCACAAAATAATATAATTCTCATGAATTTTGAAGCCAAAATAAAAGCGCCAGAACCTAAAAGCTAAACTTAGGCTATAAACGAACTACAGCACCACGGTCGCTCGCCTTCGACGTCACCACCACGCTTCCCACAACTTTTCAAACTTATTTTTAACAGGTTCAGTGAAAAGGATTTACTCTGTATATTAATTTTAATCCATGCTACATGAACCTTTTCATATAAACTGGAATAAATACAAAACTAAAGCCAAACTAAAACTGAAATGAGACACTAGTAATAAATAGTATAGTGAATAAATAAAATAATCATAACTAAAGGACATATGAAAGCACGTATTTCTGTACGTTTCGAAATAAGGTGCATTAAAAGTGAATAAATCTTTGATTAATATGAATATTTTAATTAAAAACGTGTCTCCACATACAATTCAATAAAATTCTAATGCATTTAATCGATTAAATAACAGCAGAGTGAGCGAGTTTTGGATATGGTAAGATTAAACTTATTTTAGTGAATAAAGTACCACATTTCAGCTATCGTTTTGTTAGGATGGGTACACAAAATGTTATTTTATCCTTGCTTCTAGAAAATCCTCAATCTTTCTGCTTTCTATCAGCTTCATGTGGCCGTAAACATTTAAATTTAACGTCGCTTCCGGGTTTTTGCCTACAGAGTGACATCATAGTTCCACCACTCTATATTGAATAAAGGGAATGGTTTTATTTTTGCGCTCCTCCTTCTCTGTCTCTCACTCATAGCAATCTAACGGTTAGAGGGGTGTGTTTAAGGATATTCTGCCCAAGCCGTCAAACTGACGTCATCAGAAAAGGAATGCCATTCCAGAGCGGAAGTAAATGTTCAAATTTTGATTAAAGATTACCAAAACAAACTATTTTTTTTCAGCGGCTTAACTTGCAGGGATTAATTGTTCACATCAAGACTAGCAATGTGCGCTAGTAAAGTAAATAAAGTCAATTTTGATTTCATGCGGACTTTAAGGTGATGAAAAAATAAAAATGCAATAAAACTTTTTGCCATAATAGAATATTACATTTATTTAATCAATTTATTTATTTATTTAATTAATCATTTTTAAAATTTCATTCACGTTCTAATGCAAAAACTTTCCAAACTGGTCGTACAAACGGTTTAATACAAAAAAGTCTTATGTATTTCAGTATGATTTCCATAGTAAAATTCCTTTCAAAACTAATAATAATTTCCACTAAAATAATGCAGCCATAATATCCATAATATGGCTGAAAATTTTTTGAGAGTTTCAAAGTGTAATAAGCTTTCAGGATGAATAAATAAATAAATAATAAATAAATAGCCTTTTTAAACTTTATTATTATTATTATTATTATTTTAACAAGTCATCACATTTCTAATCGCGTTTGGACGAAATGAATCCTATCGGCTCCTGTACAGTTATTCAGCATGGCGTCCTCCGTAAGGGCAGCTTCACGGTTTTGTTCTTTGTATCTGTTTACGTCTTCAAGACACAATGTCAGCAGTGCATTTAGACGGTCCTGCCGACCCTGCTCCTCTCGACCGGTCAGGAGCAGTCTGTACGAGCATGTGCTGGAAGGGTACAGTCACAAACCTAAACTGGACATGCGGCGTGTGTGCGAGGAGACGGATGCGGTGAAGGAGGAGGTGGAGAATCGGAAAGGAGATCTGCGGGCAGCTGATGTCGGAGTTATCGTAAGACACTACATTGCATGTCATTCATTAAAACAATACTGCTACGTGAACTGCACTTGTGCTTTTTTTAGATAATGAATGTGCACACGTAATCGGAACATCTGTGTGGTGCAATGTGTCCAGATCTCAGTATGGAAGGAATTACAGAAGGTGCAAAAAGAAATATCAGATTTGGAGACGAGAAAGAATGTGATCAGTGTCAAAGTCCGCGCTCTTGTGGTAAGTGTACACATTTATGCAGTATGATATGTTATTCATCTTAACTTGCACAACTATTTAAAGGGATAGTTCACCCAAAAATGAAAATTCTATCATCATTTATTCACCCTCATGTTGTTCCAAACCTGTTGTGGTGGAAATTCGGCTGTAAAATTAAAATCAGACTGCTCAATGATAAAATGATCAAATTAAATGTATTTGTCTGAAAATCATGATCTAGGGTAGTCTCGTTATGGCCAAAACATTCATCAGAGAGCTACAAAATGAGCTCGTAAGTATTATTCAGTAAAATCATACATATTCATTTGGCATTGACCAAAGGCTTTCAAAGTTGATTGGATAATCTGCTAAATGACTGAATGTAAATGTAAATAATCAAATGAACATTCTCATAAGGCCTCCTACTTCCTTTTATCATATACAGCGGGTAAAATAAGTATTGAACACGTCACCATTTTTCTCAGTAAATATATTTCTAAAGGTGCTATTGACATGAAATTTTCACCAGATGTCGATAACAACCCAAAAAAAGAAAGCTAAACAAATAAGTTCGGAAATTAAGTCATGTGTAATAAAATGAAATGAAACAGGGAAAAAGTATCAAACTACTGAAATGTATTTAATATTTCGTACAAAAGCCTTTGTTGTTAATGACAGCTTCAAGACGCCTCCTGTATGGAGAAACTAGTCGCATGCATTGCTCAGGTGTGATTCTGGCCCATTCTTCCACAGAGTCTTCACATTTTGAAGGTTCTGTGGGCCTCTTCTATGAACTCTGATCTTTAGTTCTTATTTTCTATTGGATTCAAGTCAGGTGATTGGCTGGGCCATTCTAGCAGCTTTATTTTCTTTTTCTGAAACCAATTGAGAGTTTCCTTAGCTGTGTTTGGATCATTGTCTTGCTGAAATGTCCAGCCTTGTTTCATCTTCATCATCCTGTACTAAAGGTGTTGGGACTGAACCAGCTAATATTATTTCCATTGACAAGTGGCAGGATTGCTTTCTAATTACTGATAGATTTCTGTTGGGGTCTTGGCTTTCCATGCCTTTTTGCACCACCCTTTCTTCATGTGTTCAATACTTTTTCCGTGTCATTCCTTTTTATTACACATAACTTAATTTCTGAACTTTTTTGTTTTGTTTTCTTTGTATGTATGGATTACTTGGGTTGTTACTGACATCTGGTGAAAATGTCATGTCAACGGCACCTTTAGAAATATATTTACTGAGAAAAATGGTAATGTGTTCAATACTTATTTTACCCGCTGTGTGTACACTTTCCAAGTTTATTTTCATCCACCTTGGTCTTCCTCAACATCCTATAATATGCCCACCTGAAGTATGTAAATATTCTTAATTTAAACATTTTATTTGACTCCCTAGACTTTTCGCAGGCCTACTGACCTTGATTACAGAAAGGGGCATTATTCATTTTTTCCCACCCATGCATTCGTAGATTAAATTTGAGACATCAAAGAGAGACAGAAGGAAATAATAAAAAGGGCAATATATCTAAATCTTCTAGTTATCTAAGGCCTTGCATTTGAGTGGATCAATTAGTGTGATAAAACAGTGACTACGTTTACATGGACATCAGTAATCTAATTATTTACCTTATTCTAAATAAGCCAGTATTATGATTATGGTGTTTACATGAGTTGCTTTTAGAATATTCCTTTCATGTTCCCGTTTTACATGTTATTTTTTATTTATTTATTTTTTTCAGATTTTTTTATTTTTTTCAGAAAACATATAATACAAACAACATCAGGGAAAATCTTTGACAATATTTACACACTTACATCAACAACAAGATAAACCTGGGTTTACGCTCACATGAAGAGTAAAGCATCATAATAAAGTTAACGTGTCTTTAAACACATCATCATAAAACATCAAAAAAATTTCACTTTTTTTGTTTTTTATAAATCTAAGAGATGAAATTAGAGTTGAATTCAGCAAGGAAAAGTGTAAGACAAAGAGGACTTGCACCATTTTTGCTTATAAAGAATTTTGCATACAAAATAAAGAAATTAACAACATATTCAAAAGAAACGTGTTTTGGGTTTTCATAATAACAAATAATATCTTTGAAGGCAAAATGGTACACCTCATTCATAGTGCCAAAAATATAAAAACTTAAATCAACCCAAAATTTGTTAGTAATGCTACAATCAAAAAATAAATGGGCAGCTGTTTCTTCTATAAGACCACAAAATGAACAATTCTCATCAATGTCAGAATATTTAGAAATGGAAGAGTTAACGGGATAGATTTTGTGAAGGATTTTATAATGGACTTCCTTGACCTTGTTAGATATACAAAACTTACTGAGCAAAAACCAAGCTTTTTTCCAATTTATATCAGTTATAAACAAATTCCAATAGAATTTACCTCTTGGAGTAATCTTTCTTTTTTCTTAAAAAAGCTTGCGAATATGTCTGTTGTTACACTTCTTATCTAAAAAGTTAATGCCACCCAAAAACAAAACGAGATACACAACATTACCCTTACTATACATATAAGTGATTTCTAACTAATTGAATTAAACCTGTTGGTATAGCTTTTATTAATGTATTGTATTCTTTTGGTGGAACAGGGAAGCCATGGCGATTAAGAAATTGCCCATAAGTTAAAATATGGCCAACATCATCTAACACCGATAGAATACAATTAAGATTGTTGTTAACCATTTAGAGAAAAAAAGGGACTTATTTCTGACAGTTATATCAGCATTGTTCCAGAGGAAAATTTTGTGTGGAGAAAAACTATGGACAAAACACAATTTCCAAGAAAGAAGACATTGTTGATGAAAATTAGATAAGGCAATGGGTAACTTTCTGGGTGAAAAATTGCATTTCAATAAGAAGGACAGGCCACCAAGTTTTTAAAATATATTATTTGGAATGAAAAACCATAATGACGTCGGATTTGCAAGGCATCTCTTCAGCCAGTTTATTTTAAAGACGTTTATGGTGTCCGCGAAATCTAAAAAATCAAGGCCACCCTCACCTCTAGAATTAGAAAGAATTTCTTTCTTTAATTTGTGGGGCCTATTTTTCCAGATGAAATCCAAAAATAATCTATTAACCTCCTTTATAGTCTTGTCATTAATATATAGGGAAAGGGCAGGGTATACAAAGCGAGAGAGTCCCTCTACCTCAGACAAAAGGACTCTACCAAACAACGAAAGATCTCTCTGAAGCCAAATGTTAAAGACGTTTTTAGTTTTGATCATTTTCTCATAAAAATTGAAATGATGTCTGGTTATTGGGTTTTTAGTAATATTGTTTATGTATATGTTAAAATATGTTTTTAACTGGAATATTTTCTAAAGATGTGTTATCCATGTCATGAATTGGAATAATTTCGCATTTTGAAATATTTATTTTTAGACCAGAGGCACACGAAAATTGTTCAACTAACTCCAAAGCTTTAGGCAACTGCCTTTTATCCTCCAAAAACAATGTGGTGTGATCGGCTAGCTGCACAATTTTAACCTCCTTGTCAAAAATAGAGATTCCTTTCAAATTTTCATTGTGGTTAATGCTCAGGCAAAGTAACTCTGTGGCTAAAAGAAACAAAAACGGGGAGATCGGACAGCCCTGCCTAACTCCACGATAGATGTCAAATCTCTTAGAAGTGTCAAAATGTACAATCACAGAACTATTAATACCCCTATAAAACATGGCTATAGTATCATTAAACGATTTACCAAATCCAACCATTTCTAAGGTACAAAAATAAATTTGTGTTCTATACAATCAAAAGCTTTTTAGAAATCAAGAAAGAGAATAAGGCCATCCGACTGAATCAAACTAGAATAATCCAATAAATCCAAAACTAACCTTATGTTGTTAGAGATATGAGGATCCGTCATAAATCCAGATTGTCATTAAACGATTTACCAAATCCAACCATCTCTAAGGTACAAAAATAAATTTGTGTTCTATACAATCAAAAGCTTTTTAGAAAGAGAATAAGGCCATCCGACTGAATCAAACTAGAATAATCCAATAAATCCAAAACTAACCTTATGTTGTTAGAGATATGAGGATCCTTCATAAATCCAGATTGAGATTCTGAGATAATATAATCCAGACCAATTCTTAATCTATTGGCATAAACCGAGGCTAATATTTTATAATCTATTGTTAAAAGGGTAATAGGACGCCAATTGTCAATTGATAGAAGATCCTTTTCTGGCTTCAGTATAAGAGAGATAACACCCTGCTTCATAGTAGCTGTCATATCTCCCTGACTAAGGCATACTTTATACATATAAAATAAAGGTATTTTAATAATCTCCCAAAAGTGGACATAAAATTCTACAGAAAGCCCGTCAATACCGGGCGATTTACCCATTTTCGTTGAACTTAGAGCTTTCTTAATTTCATCTACTGACAATTCGGAATCACAAATTTTCTTGAACTCACTATCAATAACCTTAATACTGTACTTAATCTTATCAATAAATTTTTCACAGATGTCATAGTTAAATTTGGAAGTGTAAAGAATACTATAAAATATGGTAACAAATTCTGAAATTACTCTTGGATCTTTTGAGATAGCACCATTATTGTTAAGTGCTGAAAGAGTTTTCAAAGGGCAGGGTATACAAAGCGAGAAAGTCCCTCTACCTTACACAAAAGGACTCTACCAAACAACGAAAGATCTCTCTGAAGCCAAATGTTAAAGATGTTTTTAGTTTTGATCATTTTCTCATAAAAATTGAAATGTCTGGTTATTGGGTTTTTAGTAATATTGTTTATGTATATGTTAAAATATGTTTTTAACTGGAATATTTTCTAAAGATGTGTTATCCATGTCATGAATTGGAATAATTTCGCATTTTGAAATATTTATTTTTAGACCAGAGGCACACGAAAATTGTTCAACTAACTCCAAAGCTTTAGGTAACTGCCTTTTATCATCCAAAAACAATGTGGTGTCATCAGCTAGCTGCACAATTTGAACCTCCTTGTCAAAAATAGAGATTCCTTTCAAATTTTCATTGTGGTTAATGCTCAGGCAATGTAACTCTGTGGCTAAAACAAACAAAAACGGGGAGATCGGACAGCCCTGCCTAACTCCAAGATAGATGTCAAATCTCTTAGAAGTGTCAAAATTTACAATCACAGAACTATTAAATGAGAAAAAAGAGAGGAAAAAAAGGGTAATTAATTAAATGATAATTCAAAATAAATAAATAAAATAAAATAAAAATGTGCTACAAATGTAAAAAATAATTTTATGACTACATCATTGTATGCAGGAAACAAACTACACAAAAGACCTAATAAATAAGGGGGAAAAAATTATATGAAAAATAAATAAATAAAACAATATATAATTAAAAAGTAAATATGATAACCCCCTTGTTATAATGAATTTAGACGTTTCAGTACATTTTAAATTGCTAGTCCATTTTCACATTCTTCACCTTAAACTTCCCTGAAGAAAAACTACGCAACCACCTACATCACCGCCATCTTGGCCTCCACACCTCCACTTTCCCGTTTTACATGTTATACATAGTTCGATTAATGGCACACGTCATTACGTCCCTACATGACGCCATCTGACGTGTCCTCCGGAATTTCACGTATAAACATATAGTTCATCTTGATGCCATGTACAGTTTTGGGTATTTCATTTTTAATTTTATGAAAGCTTCAAGTGCAGTTAATTATTTGTACAATTCTTAATCAGAGTATTGTCTTAATCGTATTAAAATACTCAGTGAGTACGTTTACATGGACAACAAAACTCGATTTGAACTCGAACTTTAATACGATTAAGGCAATACTCAAGAATCAAGACACTCAGTTTCCACTCTTCAGTACATAGGTATTGAAGTAGTGAAGTGTTCGGCATCATCACGAAGACGAACTATATGTTTATACGTGAAATTCCGGAGGGGACGTCGGATGTCGTCACGTGGGGACGTAATGATGTGTGCCATTAATCGAACTATGTATAACATGTAAAACGGGAACATGAAAGGAATATTCTAAAAGCAACTCATGTAAACACCATAATCATAATATTAGCTTATTTAGAATAAGGTAAATAATTAGATTACTGATGTCCATGTAAACGTAGTCAGTGATAAAGACTCCAGGACCTCATTGTTTATGTAAGATGAGAGAGAGAGAGATAAAAAACATGCAGTGTTGGGGGTACTCCAGGACCAGGATTGGAAACCACTGGCTTACAACATCTCAGTCAAACTCTAACCCTTACATTTACAGCATAATGTCCATTGGGCAGCAATCTATTTGAAAACGTAAGTTCATCCCCTTATATTCTTAAACTGTTGACATTCTCTAGAAGCAATTACTTTTGTCTTCCTTCTCTAATCCCTTCATTAAAAACATCATATATTAATTGAACAATAAATGTAGAAAATCTGTTTTCAATACATGACATAAAAATACTGTTTTACAAACATAAGTAAAAAAAAAAAAAAGTTTCTTTCATGATTTAAAAGCAGTGGCATTGATAGAATACACGTATAGAAAAAAAAAGATAGTTTTCTCTTAGACTGTATGAATTTATTTCTTATTTTAAGCACAGAAGAAGATATTTTGAAGAATGTTGATAACCAAACAGGTGACAATAGCTATTGTCCTCCATAGTATTGATGTCAGAATTTTTTTTTTTTTGGGTGAACAATCCCATTAAACTAAAAGGTGAATTATTTAGGGGAAAATACAAGAAGTGGTGATTATTTACAGTTCTTAAAAATACTCTTTGCTTCATACATATACATATACATATGTTTTAAATGAACAGTTTGCCCAGAAATTGTCGATGAAGGTCAATTTCTGGTGTGTACTCTGGCTGTTATTTTCTGTATTATGGAAGTAAATGAGGACTGGGTGTCCACTCCAAAATAGACAAAAGCACAGTTAGTAGTCTACGTAAATAGTGCACTAGCCTATATTCCAAGTCTTTAACTTTAAATCTCTTGATGTTGAAATAAAGTTATTGTTGATGTTATTTGTCAACTGGGTATTTATTTCTGGATAAAATGTGTTTTTAGTCAATTTTTTCACTTTTTTTTCAGGATGAACATGACAAATCTACTTTGGCTAGTGTAAGTGCCAGCTTTCTTTGATTTCTGTAAGTTTTTAGACTTTAGTTTGAGTAAATGAATATGACCTTTTAATGAATAAAAAAAAATACTTGAGAATAATTTAAAGCTGTGAATATATTTACTATATTCACTATATTTTAGTGATGTTTCTGCTTGCTATCATGTGCATGGTATGCATTGGAATACTCTTTTTCTTTCTCTGTTTTGTACTTGACAGCTTGAGGAGTACACGAGTGCTAGGGAAGAGGGTAGAGCAATCAGAGAGAAACTTATACAGTTGTATGTGCAAGAGGGTGAGCTGGAGAAACAACATTACTGCCGTGCCCTAAAATTGCCCAACAGAACACATCCAAGTGTGGTAAGAGACCGCTTACCTTTTCATAATAAAAAAAAAAAAAAAGAGGAAAACCCTGGGAAATGCCTTATCTTCAGTTCAAAAGGACATTTTATGTAGTAGTTTAAGTAAGATATCTGATCAAAAAATGGTAATTCATTCCTCTTAACTGGTATTAAATAATTGTTAAACAAATTGTTAAATAAATGTTAAACTAAGCAAATCCAATTATCAGATATACACCAAAACAAACAACAGTATATAAAGACATGCAAAGGTGTGTTTTTACTTATTTTACAGGAATGTAATTTTTTCTTTTCTCATAGCCCATCGGAGATGAGAGCCAGGCAAGAGTGGTTGAATTGGTTGGTCAGAAACGAGGTAAATTTATTTGACGTAAACTGTATTATCCCTCTCCTTAAATTGTTTGATCAAAAATACAATTTGGTTAGTAGCAGCAATCATTAATTGTATTGACGTTGAGGTTTGACGTTCCTGATTCATTGCAGCAGTTGACAGCAGTTCTCTAGTGAGATCAGTGTTTAACAGAGTAGTTTAGTTAATATTTGTTGTTAACTACCTTTATCATGGCAGTGCCTGGTAAAATGTTTTGCAAATGCATTGATGTGTTGCACAATATGTATTGTAATATACTGTAGTGTCATGTGTCCACTACAGAATTTGATTTCAAACCAAAAGGCCACCTGCAAATTGGAGAGAGTCTTGACATCGTAAGACAAAGGTTAGATGTTTTCTTTCTCTAATGTTTTAATTTTACTTAAATCCTTATTTTTATTAATTTTTGCTTTGTATCTCTTTTCTCTTAGACGGCTTGCCCATGTGTCAGGGCACAGATCATACTATTTGAGAGGTGTAGGGGCCAGACTTCAGTTTGCCTTGCAAAATTATACCATGGATCTTCTTCAGAAACGGGTTTGTATGTTTTCATCTTTTGGAATAATGTGTACCCATGAATGGAATTAAAGGGATAGTTCACCCAAAATGACAATTCTGTCATTAATTTCTCACCCTCATGTCATTCCAAACCCTTAAGACCTTCGTTCATCTTCGGAACACAAATTAAGATATTTTTGAATAAATCCGAGAGCTCTTTGGAGAGGTGTTCTCTTCACGGATGAATCCCGGTTTTCACTGTACAGGGCAGATGGCAGACAGCGTGTATGGCATCGTGTGGGTGAGCGGTTTGCTGATGTCAACGTTGTGGATCGAGTGGCCCATGGTGGCGGTGGGGTTATGGTATGGGCAGGCGTATGTTATGGACAACGAACACAGGGGCATTTTATTGATGGCATTTTGAATGCACAGAGATACCGAGACGAGATCCTGAGGCCCATTAGTGTGCCATTCATCCACGACCATCACCTCATGTTGCAGCATGATAATGCACGGCCCCATGTTGCAAGGATCTGTACACAATTCCTGGAACCTGAAAACATCCCAGTTCTTGCATGGCCAGCATACTCACCGGACATGTCACCCATTGAGCATGTTTGGGATGCTCTGGATCAGCGTATACGACAGCGTGTTCCAGTTCCTGCCAATATCCAGCAACTTCGCACAGCCATTGAAGAGGAGTGGACCAACATTCCACAGGCCACAATCAACAACCTGATCAACTCTATGCGAAGGAGATGTGTTGCACTGCGTGAGGCAAATGGTGGTCACACCAGATACTGACTGGTTTTCGGACCCCCCCGGACCCCCAATACAGTAAAACTGCACATTTTAGAGTGGCCTTTTATTGTGGCCAGCCTAAGGCACACCTGTGCAATAATCATGCTGTCTAATCAGCATCTTGATATGCCACACCTGTGAGGTGGATGGATTATCTCGGCAAAGGAGAAGTGCTCACTAACACAGATTTAGACAGATTTGTGAACAATATTTGAGAGAAATAGGCCTTTTGTGTACATAGAAAAAGTCTTAGATCTTTGAGTTCAGCTCATAAAAAATGGGGGCAAAAACAAAAGTGTTGCGTTTATAATTTTGTTCAGTATATTTCACAAAAGACAGTCATTCGGGCTTGGAATGACATGATGGTGAATAGATGATACAAATTTGCTAAATTTTCCTTGGTTGTTGTTTTTATGTTGTATGTCAATCTCCCAGTAAACACAGAACGTTCCCCTAACATTAGTTTTTGGTTCCTGTTTGGTTATTATTTTGGGGGAACCAAATACTAACATTAGGGTAACATTCTTTTTAGGTTATATTTTTTTGTAACCATAAAATAACGTTCCAAGGACGTTGCATGGTGGTTATTATTATTAAATAACCTAAAAAATAACTTATAGAGAACGCTCCTTAATGGTTATTTTTAGCAACCATAAAATAACGTTCCCAGAATGTTGCCTGGTGGTTGTTTTTAAAGTAACCAAAAAAATAACTTATAGAGAACATTAATATAATAATATATTAAATATTTTAAAAAATTATATTATAATATATAATAATATAACGAATAATGGTTATTTATATTAAAAAAATAATTTTTAGAGAACATTCCCTAATGGTTATTTTTAGGTTATTTTTGCAGCCATAAAATAACGTTCCCAGAACGTTGCAGAGTGGTAATTTTTAAAGTGCATCTGCCCCCATCCAACCTGAAAGAGCTTGAGAGGTGGAGAGGCGAGGTGAAGAATGGCAGATAATTGCTAAATGATGATGAGAAAAGCTTGTCGCATCAAACAAAAAAGACTTGAGGCTGTAAAGGTGCTTAAGCTAAATATTTAGTTAAGCGTATGGATACTTATGCAATATACTTATTTCAGTTTTTTTTTTAATACATTTACGAAGTTGTGACAATTCTGTTTTTGCTTTGTCAGTATGGTGTATGGAGTGTAGATTGATGTGGAAAAAAAGTAATTTAAAGGGGTCATATGATGCGATTTCAAGTTTTCCTTTCTCTTTGGAGTGTTTGTTGCTGATTGTGCATATGTGTCAGTAGAGCTTATAAAGCCTTTAAATCGGTGTTTGTTCATATATATGTGTGTGTGTGAGAGAAAAAGCATAGGACAGATTCTAATTACTGTGTAAAAACAACATATGGAAACTTCATTGTCCATTTCATCCTTCAATGTGTGCCATCAAATCGTATTTTTCTTGCTCAATCATCTTCAGCAGTGGGAGGAGCTTTCTTGCGGCGGGCTGATGATCTTATTTACTGCGGCTACCATTACACTTCAATTAATCCAACAACATTTCATAAAGGTTTATTCTATCTATCCATATTGGAAACACATATAAAGTAGGCCTGTTATTTTTTCAATATGAATATGGTATCAGTATCATTAAATTGGAAATAAACACAAAAGAAAATTTAGGAACCTATATATATATATATATATATATTGACCTAATGTAATATCACTATTTCAGTTTCTTCTTAGATGTTGAATGAACTTAATACTCTGTTTTAAATTCTCTTATTTTTTCAGGGCTTTATTCCCATGGTTGTTCCTGACATGCTAAAATCAGTGGTTTTTGTGAGTACCGCTTTGTTCTGAACTCCATTATGTTGATTTTTATTCAGCAACATTTTATCACATTGTAGTTGTTTATTAAGATTCTTCATGGAAAGAACAAATAATAAATTACATGAAATACATCCAGAAATTTTAATTTTAACTAGATTAGATCAAGTGGTATTTACCAGATGTCGCATAGGTCATACAAGACTGACTCGTGCATTTTTGCTTAAAGGTGAAGACCCTACTCAATGTATGTTTTGCAAGTTTCCCTCCAAAACATGTTTTGTTGGACTGTCCAACTTTTAATGTACAGCGAAAACTCTTTTATGAAGTGAGCTCACTTAAAGAGTTAAATTTTAGTAAAATTTTGCCAGGAAAAGTTTTAGAATTTTTATCACGTTAATGTAAAAAATCTTGTGTGATATAACTTGTGTTTGTTTGTTTGTTTGCTGGTTTTTATTGTATTTGTTATACTTGTATTTTCTAAATGATTATATTGACAACCTATAAAGAATCTCCATGACATTGCACTATTTTTGCATTTGTTGTTTAGGAGGGTTGTGGGATGCAGCCTAATGCTCATAAATCACAGGTGTACTCTCTGGACCCTTCACGCTTTCCTGACCTTAATCTTGCTGGTACTGGGGAAGTGGGAGTGGCAGGTGAGAAAATCATTCTAGGGTTATTTCTAAATTAAATGTAATTGTTTATTATGCAAGTTATTCATACATTTATTCTGAAATATAGACCAGTAGGCACCAATATTTGAACCAAAATATGATTAGCAAGGACAGATTGTCCTTTATTTTACCTTCCAGGCTATTTCATGGATCATGCTGTAAATCTGAAGGATTTACCTGTCAGGTACAAAAAAAATAAAAATCCCGGATTGACCTAAATGACTGCCTAAATGCTGCATTAAGTTGTTGATGGATGCATAAAATATTATTCATAAGATAAATTATTACTTTTTTTGTTCTAGGACAGTCTGTAGTAGCACATGCTATCGAGCTGAAACAGAGACAGGCAGAGAGGCCTGGGGGCTCTACAGAGTTCACCATTTTAACAAGGTAATCAGAAAACAGAAGTGGTAGCGTAGAAAATAAAAATAAAAAATCTGAAAGAAAAATACAAAAGTTGTTTTGTGATTCTCTGTCCATGTCAAGATCAAGACTAGTGATATCAAGATCAATGTAAATGTAGTACTATGAACATTGTGCTAACTGAACAACCTTTTTAGGATGTTTACTATGTTTTTATTCATGCAGGTTGAAATGTTTGGTGTGACTTCGAATGAGACGGGAGAGGAGAGTTCCCAATTGTTGGATGAATTTGTCACGTTACAGAACGAGATTTTCTCTTCCCTAAAACTTCATTACAGGTCTACAGTCGAACCATTTTTCTATCAGTATCCATCATCAATATATCACATAGCATGTCATGTGTTGCTAATTGATATTCATTTTCTTTCATTTTTATGGTATTCTGCACTAATTCAATAAAATAGAAGTATAGCATTTCTTTAAGTGGCTTTTAAGCCAACTTAACTAGTTTTTGATGTCTGTTCACGCCAAGGACAAAATATTTATTGTGAAATATTCATTCATTGCACTAGCTCTCACTGGTCAGTGAATACAATTAAGATTTGTAGCACTTGCTGATAAAATGGTAATAACAATTTCTCTCATAGAGTCTTGGATATGCCCACTCAAGAATTGGGGCCTCCTGCCTTCCGAAAATATGATATTGAGGCATGGATGCCAGGACGTGGCAGCTTTGGAGAGGTTGGAATGATACTTTAAAACAAAAAGTCAAGAGTCAATGTAATTGTAAATTTTATTCATGAGTAAAAATAATCTAAAATATAAAAAGAGGAATACATGTCTGCTTTTGAGTCCTTTTGGTGAATGTCAACTTCCTTTATCAGATTTCCAGTGCCTCAAACTGCACAGACTACCAGAGTCGGCGCCTTAACATTCTCTATGAGGGAAATGATGGAAACCTTAAGTATGCACATACGGTAAGAGACTATTTATAATACTATGTTAATAATATGGTAAGCCAGGTTTTGTGTCTGCAATATTTCCATTCTATTTGTCGTGCTGTTAAAAAAGTAAATATGTTTGTAGGAGATAACTAAAAGAACAGAACCATTCCTTCAGCACAAAAATGGCTGTAGCAGTCAAAAACCCTTTCTTTTTTCCTCCCCGTATTTTAGGTTAATGCTACAGCTTGTGCTGTTCCACGTACTGTCATTGCGATTTTGGAGACACACCAAACCAAGGTAGAATTTGAAGTAAAATAACTTGTGTATTTTTAAACAGACATTAGTTTTATTCATTTTATATTTTGCCTCCCTGTTTGTCTTCCATTAGGAAGGGACGGTTCTGGTTCCTGAAGTTTTGCAGCATTACCTTGGATTGGAAGTGATAGAAAAACCTAAATACACTCCTATTAAATATATAGGACCAAACCAACCCAAGCGTCATACCTCAAAATAACTCTTTAATAGTATATCAGACTTCAGTGAAGTACCGTTTTTGCTGTATTCTCAACAGTGAATGCAATGTATATAGGTATTTGGCATAACTTCTTGTTTGAGAAGTGATTTTTTTTCCAAACCAACATTTATGTGGCTTTATCCAAATTTTCAATAAAATGTAATCAGTGACAATTTGTTCCTGTCTTTTTTGGGGTTCCTGTCTGTGCAAATTATTACCGCTGCCACAAAACATCAGAAGGAGCAAAACAAAGTAATACAGATCATAATTAAATTTGATGATGATGTGTCAGCCCCCCCCCCAATTTATTATGAAGGCTAATTATTTGCTCGATCTACTCCCAAGTATGCAGTGCTGCTTTCACACCTGTCACACTTGTGTGGAATTTAGGATAGCCAGGGCATATATCAGCATGAATAACTTGATCATTAGGGATGGGAGGCATATGGAATTTAAACATTTCTTAAAGTATTTAACAGTTACAATTCCTCATTTATTTATTATTATTATTTTTTTAGCAGTGGTAATTTGATTTGGTTAAGACAGAAGAGATGACTTCAAATCATTTTTATTCACACTACTATGCTTGCAAAGCTCACAAACTGAGCAAACACATGATTTATTTTGCCATAAGATGACTTTTAATGGCAAGTAGTGAAAATTACTAATGAAATGATGAGAAAGTATTTGCAGCAGTATTCATATCATGCAGTTTGTCTCTTACTACCATTGAGAAGACAGCATGCTGGTAAACTTTCCATTGCTATCTTAAGTCTTTCTTAAGACTTAAAGGGGTCATATGGTGTTGCTAAAAAGAACATTATTTTGTGTATTTGGTGTAATGAAATGTGTTTATGCGGTTTAAGGTTAAAAAAACACATTATTTTCTACATACTGTACATTATTGTTTCTCCTCTATTCCCCGCCTTTCTGAAACGCGTCGATTTTTACAAAGCTCATCAGTCTGAAAAGCGTACTTACAGTCTTTGAACAGTGTTGTAAATACAACTTAACCACTGATTTCTAGTCATGTTCATTTTTGGAAGACCAAACAAAGTAGTTTCGCTTTCACAACGAAACACAGTGTCACACACGGCGGCCTTGAGTGATCAGAGGCCGGGGGATAAAGTGAGGAACGGCCGGCGGGCTGAGTAAGCCGAGGCGGCGGATTCGACGAAGGAGCGTCCGGAGGGCTTGCGGCAACCACAGCTAAAACTGAAAGTGAGGGATAGGGACCATTGAACAATAACAATTACAAGACAGAACTACTGGATCAAAGTGACAGCAAACCTCAATATTCTCTTTAAAAACCCTGACTCCGTGAAAAAAAGAATCCACAGAGAATTTCACAAAAAGTTCAATCACCTGACTTGAACATTATCAAACTACTGTGTGCAGTTTTATTATATAATCTTTTTCATTAAATTTAATTAACTAATATTTCATATAGAATTATAATAAAATATTAAAATGATTATTAGATATATTTGACATATTTCTTCCTCTAAAAACATATTTTTATTTATAAATAAAGATTTATAATAAAATAGATATTCATTTAAAATTTTATTACATTTTAATTGTTTAGATTATGAAAGTGAAGCAACTGAGGACTGATTATGATCAGTTTCAAGATGCCTGTTGCTAGGAGAAAAAAAAATTCTATATCATTGTTATCAGTATTTGCTTTTCCTATTTTTAGAGGGTGGTAGAGCTGGAAGCTGATGAAAACCATTCTTGGATGAGGCAGGTTTTACCCTGGCCATGACATGGAGGAGAGGTTGAGAGCCCAGCGGTTGAGAGGGGCCCAGAACGATGTTCGCTGGGGGGCCCGACCACCCCCCACTGAATGTGATTTTGAGGGGACCCCATAGCAAAATCAGTGCAATGGGCCCAGAATTCCTAACAACAGCACTGAGTGCAATCATGATTTCAGGCCCATCCACAGTTTATCACCTTGTATTTACCCCATACTCCCCTTTCCTTACTGTAAATGATTGTACTAAAAACTACACAGTGAAATTATGGGTATATTTTGTGTGGGTGATCTAAAGTAATGTTCCTATGATATTTCATAATAAATGGGTTTTTAAAACCAATGCTTCTGCGAATGCAAGGCTTCTTTAAAGATATGAATGCAATATGCAAAGTTTTGAACATTAGACAGCCTGTGTTACAAATAATGACTGTTTTGAGCTTTGTGTCTAGAGTTTTGAAAAATGACATGACGGTTCTGAAATTGGTGACAAAATGATTGTTAAAAACTGTAATAAAGCAAAGAGTACTTATACATTTATATTGTGTGTAGTGTCTTGTTTGCACTCACAGTTGATCAGGAATCTTTTTTTTAATTATTATTAGAGTCAATCCTTGGAGGTTTTTTTTATATGCAATGTGGCTAATACACTTGGATTTCTGGGCACTAATCTCAAAACATGTGATTACATGTAATAACATGTTCTCCTTTCTCTCATTTTCCTTATTTCATGTTACGGTTTTTTTCAACTGCTTACACACAAAATCTTTACTTGTCACGCAATTTCTGAAACTTGAAACTCAAACACCAGAACCACACACCAAGTCTGCAAAACCATACACTAATTCTCGGCCTTAGACACAGTTTTCAATTTCATAAAACACTTTTTGCAAAAAAACAACACTCAATTCTCTATGTAACACACAAAGATCTAACAGGAATTAATATTATGGCAAAGGTGTTTGCAAATGTTTGCTTTTGAGATGTGTTTGTGATATTTTGAATGCAGTGCTTCATTTTGCAAGAGATGTGAGGCATTTTGCATTTTGTGTGTGCAATTCTTGGATTTGTGTGTAAAGTTTTGAAAAAAAAAGAGGCAAAGTTT